ACCTGATTTAGGAGTATCCCTTCACCTGATTTAGGAGTATCCCTTCACCTGATTTAGGAGTATCCCTTCACCTGATTTAGGAGTATCACTTACCTGAACTAGGAGCATCCCTTAACCTGAAATAGCCACGACCATCAAAGGTAGCTAGCTGCAAGACGTCTTGTTGGTGGAATAAGAAATAAATGAAATGTTTTAATGATGAAACAGCAGCAATAGTCACAACAACGAGAAAACAAGCAAACAAAAACCCGGACTTTACCAACAGTACATTTTGGTCCAACTGCTACCTTATTATAACCGCTAAAATAGAGCAAAAAACACATTGACCTTTTCTCTGCCTACGGCAAGCAATTTGTAAAAAAGCAGAATCGTCTAACAACCTGGAGCTCAAATATGCACGAAGAAACACAAATCAAATCTTTATCCCGGAAGTCGTTTTCCACGCGTATTATTCCACGAGGCACACTTACTATACATGCTAAAAGTTAAAATTTTTTTCTCCAAACATTTGGTTTCATTTTTCTGGAGGCAGGAGCCAGGAAAAAGAGTTAGGAAGAAGATTGTTATAATAATTGGAAATGTGGAATTTACTTTTTGGTTTCTTTTCAGACACAAGACTCAGCATGACATTGAAGATCACGAGCAGGAACTACACAACTGAACTTAACGACAAAGCTTCGAATCAGTACAAAACGTTGACTGAAAACATCAAAAACCTGGTAAGTGTTATTTACCATAAGAGAAAAGAGAGAAAGAGAAAAATGATGTACCATGTACAGGGCGGAAAAGAAGTGAGGTGAGGTGAGGTGAGGTGAGGTGAGGTGAGGTGAGGTGAGGTGAGGTGAGGTGAGGTGAGGTGAGGTGAGGTGAGGTGAGAGAAAAATAAAAAGAAGGTGAGTGAAAGAGAGAATGCGAGACAAAGAAGAAGAAGAAGAGAGAAAAAGAGAAGGGAGGATTTTATTAGGTCTGCAACATTACACTACAGAGGAATGATAAAATCTGATGTTGTATTTATTTTCGTTTTATATACACTTAATTGAAAAAACGTTGTCGGGTTCAAAAAAAGGTTATATCATCAAAGCTAAGACCGAAGGGGAGCATGGGAAGATAAACAATTATGCTAATTTCATGCGTATTGCAGTTTTCCCTTCCTGTGCACATTTTATGCATCATGGCTTTGGCATGTTGTTAACCTAGGTCGACCGACTTTGCTCTACTCTGCATTTTTACATGTCTATATGCAAATATAACACACATTTTGGAGTACCCAAAATCCTTTTCGGTCTTAGATGATATGACCTTCTCGAACCCGACTACGTTTTTTCAATTTGGTGTATTTTGAATTTGACCTTTACCGGCACTAAATTGAGTTTCTGAGATGATACTTCAGCACCTAACGGCTCTTCTGTATTCATTTGTTTTAGCTACAATCATTATACTTATGAACGGTTTTATTTTATTTTGAAGCTGAGTAACAACATCACCGCTACAAATAGCAATTGGGTAATAAATATCCATGGCTTTGAACTAAGGTAAGCCTTTTGTTCAAATAGATCTTTCATGGTCTGTGTATCACTGAGTACCTCTCTCTCAATAGATGCTTTGTCCCATCACGTGATAGCCGCTATGACAGGAGGCACATTAATAGAGTCTTCTTTAGGGAAACTGAATTCTTTCTCATGTAAAACAGATTAGACCAGATTCAATAGCGCAGCGCACTGATTCTAAAAATAGCTTAAAGATTCGGACAAACATTGCACTCTGTTTGACCGCTACGAGGATTATACGAACCGATTTTATTATTTTTACTTAAAGTTACAATAATAACCCATGTAAACTAAGATCAACTGCGATCGGCTGTGAAAATTATCTGCTGAAAGTAAACTTGTAAGTTTGTTTGTCCGAATTTCGCCTTTTTCTTCGTATTTATGACGTCACGGTTGCGCTGCGCTATTGTTTCTGCCTCCTGTCATGGCTGCCATCACGTGATGGTTGCAAAGTATCTATACGCCATTTTCGCATTCTCCATGATACATCGCGGCAAGAGAGTATGAAGTAAGAGAGCACATCTCCCACACATAGGTCTCTCTCTACCCATGAAACAAAAAGAAAGAACTTATTTGATATTCTATTTTTATACTTTCTTGATCAAGGTTATGGGGATAACCAGGGAGGGGGACAGATGTTATGCTAAAGAACGTTCAAAAAATGTTGCAAATGTATCTTAGGATATTTAAAGATGCCATTAAAAAAAAAAAACCAGAAAGAAAAAGAAAGAACTTTGAAGAAGTCTTTGAAGTAAACTTTGAGCACTTCTTTGTGAGTCAATACTTTTTTTCTGTAACGCTGAATGGCTTGATGTTCTAAACATGGAAAAATGGAAAATCAACTCGGAATGAAATGTTAATCAGGTTTCTACGGATAAAAGCAGGCATAGTGTTCATTCATTTGAGCATCGTTAAATTTATGACATTTTTTGCCCGGTTACTCCCCAAAAACAAAGCAATATACACCGAATCGAGATATGGCGACCAATTTGAATAACTATTGTTCTGCACTGACTATAGCCCTGGTTCACGTGGAAACACAAAAGCGTTTACACATGTAAGAGAGGCTAGTCAGTCCAGAACAATAGTTATCTCAAAAAACGTCCTTGTTTTTAAGAGGTTAGCACTTAATAGCCAGCGGCTAACAAAATTGTGGCCTTCGTTCCGTGATTGAATTGGAATTTGGGAGCTGATTTTTGTGGAAGAAGGAAAACCGGAGAGCCAGGAGAAAAACCCCCGAAGCACAGGAGAGAGCCAACAAACAATTCTACTCGCATACGACCCCGAGCCCGACGGGACTTAACCACGGGTCGCATTGATGAGAGGCGAGCGCTCACACCACTACGCCATCCATACTTCCCCATATTCATATTGTTCGCCGTCTTTTGATTTGGTGTATGGAAATGTATTCTAGTATTGTAATACATAAATATCGTAATGCGTTTTGTTTGTTTCTGTGTTACTAGCTCTGGAAGCATTGGTGTAAGCTTCTTTGTTGATTGCCCGACCACTTATTGGTCAAACATTAAAGATCAGCTTCAACTCATCGTTAGTGTTGCATCATTTGGAAACTATAGCATTAATCCTTCATTCTCGATTGTACAGAAAGTTACCGTTGGTAAGTTAATGTTTCTGAAGTTTCTTTGCAAGTGATTTGTTTCTTTGTTTTACTTTTCACTTCCTTCCTCTGTTCCTTCCTTTCTGTCTTCCTAATTCTTTTCTTTCTCTCTCCGTTCTTCTCTTCCTCCAATTCGTCTTGCTTGCTTGCTTGCTTGCTTGCTTGCTTGCTTGCTTGCTTGCTTGCTTGCTTGCTTGCTTGCTTGCTTGCTTGCTTGCTTGCTTGCTTGCTTGCTT